TTCCCTGCTTGGGAAGATTTCTGCCATTACTTCTGTGAACAGGTTTTTTATGTCATTTGCACTATCTTCCTTTTTCATTGCCTCCGATCAATCATATGTTATTCTTCTTTGCATCATCTAGAAGCTGTTGAATTGATTTTTTGTGGTCCCTTGCTATTTTTAAGAAATCTTTCTTTTCATGGTTCATATCCACAATCCTGTCTTCTATGTCTGATATTCTGTCCTCACATTGACTCATTCTGTTGCATAGAATTTCAATGGAATTTTTATCTCCTAGATATCTGTTGAATCTGTTTTATGGATTCCATTTCTTTCCTATGTTTTTTTGTTTGTTTGTTTGTTTTTTGGGGGGTTTTTTTGGTACCGGGGATTGAACTTGGGTCCTTCCTCTTGCAAGGCAGACGGCGGAACCACTGAGCTAAATCCCCGGCCCAATTTCTTTCCTATGTTGGACATTCATGGTTTCCATTATTTTCCTAAGCTCCTCTATTTTTTTATCTGTATCTGCTCTAGTGTCAGTAACCGTGTCTTTCATTATGGTCACCATCTCTGTGCTTATTTGGGAAACTCTTTCTTTCTTTGGTACTGGGGATCAAACTCAGGACCTTGCACTTTCGAGGCAGGCAGCAGAACTACTGAGCTAAATCCCTGGCCCCTGGGAAACTATTTCTGATTTAATTTTTTTCTAGAGCCTCATTCATGTGCTTTATCATTATTATTTTTCATTTTTGGTACCAGGGATCAAACTCAGGACCTTGCACTTGTTAGAGAGGTACCTGCCACTGAGCTAAATCCCTGGCCCTGTGCTTTTATTACTTCAGCTGTTACCACTTCAGAGAGTCCAGGTGAGTGGTTTTTGAATTCTTTTACCTCATTGTCCCCTGGGTTTGCCTTAGGTGAGCTGGAAGTTTGGAGCTGCATCTTAAATTTCATCTAAGTGTTGTCTTACTTTCTTTTTCTTTTTTTTGGTTCAATTCCTGGGTTGGTGCTTTTAAATTGTGTATGGTAGGGCCGGGGATTTAGCTCAGTGGTTTCACTGCCTGTTGCGCAAGTGCAAGGACCTGAGTTCAATCCCTGGTACCAAATAAATAAATAAATAAATAAAATAAAATAAATTGTGTATGGCAAGTAGCTTTATTGCTAATATTTAGAACCCTTAGGAAATGATGGCTTCTCAGAAATGTCTTCTAAGTGTACCTAGATTTTGGGTTTTGAGTCTATTGCAAGATCCTATCTCTTCAGTTTACTGGAGATGAGAAGTTGCTGCCTATTTGGCCCAGTCCCTGGTTCTTTGCCACTGGCCTATTGTATTGTTTATGCCTCTTAGTCCTGGCATACCAGGAAGAATAGCTGATTAGAATAATTATGATGCCCTGGCTAAAGTAGTACAATCAGGACCAGGGATTTAGCTCAGTGGTGCTGTACCTGCCTCATAAGCACAAGGTCCTGAGTTTGATCCCTGGTACTGGGAAAAAAAGTAAAGTAGTACAATCAGCAATAACAGTAGCATCAAACACAGCCTAAAAAATGACAAACGATGGTAATTATTAATTTGTCACCTTTAACCATATGAACTAGATTTGTGGTTATATAACAAAAATCTAGTGCAGAGGATTTTAGCTCAGTGGCACTGTGCCTGCCTTGAAAGTGCAAGGTCCTGAGCTTGATCCCTGGTACAAAAAGAAAAGAACTACAAAATCTAAAACAAACCAGAAAATTTATTTATACAGTAAATATGCCCTCTGTATGACAATTTTACCCTCAGGGGAGAAAATTTAAAAGGAGTTAGGGGAAAAATAGAGAAATAGAAGAAGAGAAAGAGATTAGAAGCAAGGCTGGAGGACAAAGGAGGAGGATGCAAATTTTTGGGAACTAGTGAAGAATATAGGAGGGAAAGCTAGAAGGAGGAAATAAAAACAAGAACAGAACAGAACAACAACAAAAAAACTAGAAACAATGTTCACACTTATATAAAAACAAGAATAGCTGGGGATTTAGCTCAGTGGTTCCAGCACCTGCCTCGAAAGTGCAAGGTCCTGAGTTTGATCCCTGGTACAAAAAAAAAAAACCAAACCCAACAACACAAGAACAAACAATCAAGAAAAAAGAAAACAAAACAAAAACAAGAAAAGAAAGAAATTGGGAAAAAAAATGTCCACTTCAAAGTGTGTCTCTGCTGTCATTGGTAGACAAGTGGGGCACATAGAGCCCAGATCTGTGTTGATTAATCCCAACAAGCCAGCTGTAGATTTATGGCAGAGCAGTAGATAATCTTAGCAAGCCTGTACCTTTAGTCCTGAGGCTCAGGCTTGTTTCTGGCTGTGAGGCTGGAAACCAATTTGTTCAGCCTGCAACACTCTGTGCCTCCTGCTGGCTTGAATTCAGCTCCATGCCAGCTTGAGCTTGACTCCTTGACCTCCTGTCAATTTGAGCTTGGTTCTGCCTCACCCTGATGGAGTCAACCTGAAGCTGCTCTGAGTCCAAGCTCAGTTGGCCCCTCTCCAAGATGGTGACTGGCCAATTGCCCTCTCCGGGGGAACATCTGAACCTGAATAACTCACCAGCCACTGCAATCCACTGCATCTGCTGCTCCATTGCACTGGTGCATCTCTCCATGGAGGGCTCTGGGGACACCATTAGTCACTGTGTGTTTGCAGGTTTGAGCTGCCTTTCCCATGCAGTGAGTCAGGGCTCAGGGAGAAAGTACTGCTTGCCACCTCCTTCATTGAAGTTTTTCTCTTTAGTCTCCCTGTGGGCCTCAATTCTCACTTCAGATCCTTGCTGGGTCCTGGGGACTCACTTCCCTCCTTCCTGTCTTCCTCATGTTGCTATATTCCAGTGTCTGGACATGAAATCTCGAAGAGGCTGTTGCTCTGCTGTTCACCATTCTGCCATTTTCCTGGAAGTTCCTACCACTTTTTGTTTGTATGTTTGGTACTGGGGATTGAACTCGGGACCTTGCGCTTGCAAGGCAGGCGCCGGAACCACTGAGCTAAATCCCTGGCCCACTACCACTTTTTGATTTGGACCTCGGAGCAGTATTCTCAACCTTGCTCTGGCCTATCTATGGGTTGACCTGGTTAGTTGCACACCGGGGTGGAATTTAGAACCAGGAGGGCTCTGTGCTAGACATGTACTATGGGATAAGCACTGTGTCACATAGACCAGCTGTGGACATATCTATGGGAGGAGGCGACAGTGAGGAGTCTCTGGAAGCCCCAGAGGGAGGATACCATCTTAAGGCCCTGGCTGGGGTCAAAGCCTTGCCCTGCATAGTGGAGGAATTACCAGCACCTGAAAAGTAGCTCTTGGTGGAATTGCAGACTCAGGAGCAATAAACAGCCATTGTTTAAGCCATTAAGTCTTAGGATGGTTAATTGTTTTGTTTGTTGTGGGGTTGTTTTGTTGGGAATGGGTCTTGCTATGCAGTTCAGGCTGGCCTTGAACTATGTAGCCCAAGGATGGTTAATTATCGAATAGATAACCATGCCAGGGCTGTAATGTAATAGTTCTTTGTTCCCTGGGCCTCTTGTATGCTAAGAAAGTGCTCTACCATCTCTGTCCCAATTTTTTTTTTTCCTTCTGGTACTAGGTATTGAACCCAGGGCCTTCTCATTAAACTACAGCCCAACCTCCTTTTTTATTCTCCAGTTTGAGACAGGATTTCAGTAAATCACTAAGTTGCACTTGAACTTGAACTTGGGAACCTCCTGCCTCAGCCTCCCAGAGTGCTGGGATTTCAGGGGTGCATCACCACACCTGACTTTTTAGTGTTGTGTAATAATCCACTATCTAAATATACCAAAAATTTTAAGTCTCTTTGTTTTGTTTTTTGGGTTTTGTTTTTTTTTTTGGTACCAAGGATCAAACTCAGGATCTTGCACTTGCAAGGTAGGCAGGGTGCCACTGAGCTAAATCTCCAACCCAAGTCTCTTCTTTTGTTATTGACATTCCAGTTATTTCTAGTTTGGGTCTGTGATAATGTCTCTTGAACATTTCATGTATCTTTTGGTGGACATATGTCATTGATGTAGGAACCTTACATTAGGAATAGACTTACTGCCGGGTGTGGTGGCACATGCCTGTAATCCCAGCACTCGGGAGGCTGAGGCAGGAGGATCACTGTGAGTTCGAGGCCAACCTGGGCTACATAGTGAGTTCAGGGCCAGCCTGAACTACAAAGGGAGACACTGCCTCAAAAAAAAAAAAAAAAAAAAAAGAATAGACTTACTGGGTCATAGGATAGGTATAAGGATCAGCATCTTCAGAAGATATTAGCGTTCCAAAGTAGTTGAAACAAGCTGGTGGCATAACTCAGTGGTAGGGCATTTGCCTAAAATGCACAAAAATGCATGATCCCCCCAGCACCACAATAAAAAAATAAAAGTAATTGAGACATGAGTTCCAGTTGCTCCATATCTTTACCAACCTTTAGCATTGTGTCTTTTTCACTTTATACATTCTGGTGGGCATGTAGTGGTTACCTTGTTGTGGTTGTATTTTTTGTGGTATTGGGGATTATTGGGAATCCAGGGCCTTTGCACTGAGCTACATCCCCACCCCTTTTTATTTTTTTGAGACAGGATCTCACTAAATCACTAAATTAGGGATTGAACTTGTGATCCTCCTGTCTAAGCCTCCCAGATGGCTGAGATTGTAGGTGGATGCCATCATGCTTGGTTTATTGTGGTTATAATGTGCATTTCCCCTATGAGTAATGATGTTAAACTTCAATATATTCTTTACAAAAAAAGACTACCTGACAAACCAGGACACATCAGTATGCGTCACCACAGTGTCAATATGTCACCACTGTCAAGTGGTGATCTTTGCAGAGATGTGATGATAGATTATTTTGGTTTTGTTGATTCTGTTGCAAGGTCTTTGTTTGTTAAGCTTTCTCAACTTTTGAAATTTCCTATGCAAACAACTCCCAGAACATTCACCTATTTGTTCTTATAAACGGTAAAGTGTAATGACCACAACAGTGACATTGCAGGTAAAGTCATTGAGACATTTATTGAGCACCAGCTGTGTACCCAGTACTGTGAGAGAGCTTGAAGGACACAGAGCAGCACAGGGCGTGTTCCCTGGCCAAGAGGCTTACAGTGTAGGTGGAAATAATGAACGTCACACACTGGGGCCGAGAGGCACAGGCTGGGCCAGGAGGTTACAGGAGCCAGAGGGTGTTTGGGGTCAGACCCGTTAAGTGCTTTGGTGCCTGCAGATCAGTGTTCATTGCGGGGACAGAGCTGCACCATCCCAGGCTCCCGTCAGCCCACCCAGGCACCTCCCATGGTCTCCATGGCCACCATCTTGTCCAAGTCCTTGTTCAGCTGCTACTCAAAGTGCAGTGAGACGGGGAGGGAGGAGCTGGATGGAGATGGTCATCTACGGTCACCGATGGCTTCCAGGAGCTGGGTCTCTGTCCTGGAAACCCACTCTCCTCACCTCACACTCCTAACATACAGCGACAGGGTGTTCTATGGGACCATCCAGGACTCCACCCCAGAGCTAAAAGGGGGAGGCCATGCTGCTGTGCTGCCTGAGGTAGAACTAGGGAGCCCTAGGTCTTGGGTGTCCAGGGACAGGTGCCCACAGCTGCCACTCACAGCCAATGGGGTACTAGAGATGAAGGATTCGGGGGAGGGGAGAGCAGCAGAGGGGCCTTGAGAGCCAGCTGGGAAAGAGGGACAGCTGGGACCCCCCAAAAAGTAAAGAGGGAGCCAGGCTCCCTAGGGGTGGCACAGGGTTCTGGGAATAGGGCTGCTACAGGACCCGATCTTCCCTGCTTCACAGGACAGTGGGGCACTGAGGCCAGGACGGTTTCTGTCCCAGGCTGTGCCCGCTTCGTGGTCACCTGCCTGACTCCAGAGGAGGTGAGAAGACCCCAAAGTCTGCGATGATATCCCTACTTGGCTGGACCCCCTTCAAAGTGCTATCATCTATTTACTCCTCAGATTCTGAGGACTCAGGACTGAGAATCCAAGAAAGGGGGCAGAAGCTGAGTTGGAGAGTGGAGGAAGGGAGGGAATCAGGTCCCTCCGTCAGTGCCACCTGGTGGGTGAGGGCAGAGGAGGCACAGCGGGCTTGAAGCCAGCCGCATCATCCGCAGGAGATGGAGGACAAAGAGCAAGGAAGAGAAGGTTTTAAATAATGTTTCATGTAATAAAAATACCCAGCACTCTGATGAGCCTACCATTCTACCACCTAATTTGTTTTTTAAATAATTCTAATGCCAGAGGCTGGGTCGGGGGTGGGGGACAGGCAGGTATGTACATGAGGAACTTAAATTAAAACACGCATAATAATTAAGACGCACAAACTGGAGGATGAAGGTACAGGTGTGGACGGGGCTGGTGGGCTCCCCTGTTTCTGGGAGCTCGAAGCTTCCGGCCGGGAGATCAGGGCTTCCTCTTGCAGAACACCAGGCGGCGCTTGGAGTGGTAGAAATCTGCAGGGACAGAAAAGGGTCAACCCCGCCTGGCCCAGACATACCCTGGCCAAGGGACACACTGCCACCTATGGGTGAGGATCTCGGGGATCCTCCAATCGTCACCCAGGGGGGTTGATGGGCCCCACACTGTTGCCAGACAGCCAGAGGAGCCAAGGCTCTGCACTGGGCTTTCCAGCCATCACAGGGGTCCCGGACGGCAGCCGTGTGGACCCTGTGAGACTCAATGTACGTGTGCTGCACAGGGGCTCCCGCTTAGACTTGCTCACTGCTGTGCCTATTATCACCATCATCAGAGCTGACCCCAGGAGATTCTCACCTTCACCCCCCACCCCCCGCCTCAGTTTCCCCACTTATAAAAGGAGGGTTTCGCCGGGCATGGTGGCACATGCCTATAATCCTAGCACTTGGGAGGCTGAGGCAGGAAGATCGCCATGAGTTCAAGGCCAGCCTGAACCATATAACAAGACCCTGTCTCAAAAAACCAACAAATAATAATAATAATAAAGGAGGGCTGCAAAAGTGTGGTGCTGTGGGATTCAGTGAAATCCTCTCTGTCCAGGCTTTGGTCTAGGATCCAGCATGAAAAGTGGTCAAGTGTCAGCAATGTCGCCTCATCGTTTTTTTTGAGACAGAGTCCTCCTATGTAGTCCAGGCTGGCCTTGAACTTACTATGTAGGCCAGGCTGGCCTCAAAGTAGTGGTGATTCTCTTGCCTCAGCCTCCCAGTGCTGGGATTACAGACATGCACCACCACGCCTGGCTCCTTCATTCATTCTTTATCCAGCACCTACTCTGCCTGACGCTGTTCTGGGTGCTGGGGATTTGGTGGTGGATGAGAGACACAGGTTAAAGGTGCGATGGGAGGGGTGTGAAGTCTGCACAGGGTGGTCTGCCTCAGTCTTGGAAGCTCACTTTGGGACCTCATCACTCTGTCTCCGAACTTTGCACCCTGCTCTTTTTTTTTTTTTTTTTTTTTGGTACCGGGGATCGAACTCGGGTCCTTGCACTTGGGCAGCAGGAGGCGAAACCACTGAGCTAAATCCCCGGCCCCTGCACCCTTGCTCTTAAAGGGTGCCACAGATGTCACGTGGCCTAGGGTCGCTGCAAGGACTAAACCAGACCGGCCTTAGGAACCGCAGTGCCTGGCCCGTCATCTGTTCCCAACACAGGTCAGCTGTGGGTCTCGGCTAAAGCCCTGCTGTGTGCCCTCAGGCAGGTCACCTGCAGACTCTGGGCCCATTTCACTCTGTCTAAGCTTCAAAGCCTTAGGCCGTGGATTCTGTGGGTCCCGGTCCCCACCAGTGTCCTCCCCGGTACCCATGCTCACCCGTCATGCTGGTCTGCCGCCGTTTTCGGCTCTGAGAGGTTCCAGGCGCCCCTGGGGACTCCTCGGGCGGCTCAGAAGACCGAGGCACAAGGGTGCAGGACAGCGACAGGTCCACGTGGTCCTCCTGAGCCACTATCCCCTGCAGCAGGGCAGTCGAGGGGCTGGGCCGCCTGCCCCCTCCAGTGTCATCTCGGCCGCCGCAGGGCCCGGGGCTCAGGTAGAGCTTGGGCAGCCCCAGGCCGAGCACGCGCTCCCAGGCGAAGTTGCCCTCCAGCGGCGTCTCGGTGACAAAGTCGAAGTTCCACCGTCGCCGGGCCTCCTGCACGCAGCTGGCCATGAGCGCGTCACAGTCAAGGCGCAGCTGCTCGCTGTCCACGGGGCCGAAGAGGCGGCGGCAGGCCTTGCTGCTGTGCGGGACCTGGCGGGCGTCCCCAGGTGGATGTGACATGGCACCTGCGCTGGGACAGAGGAAGGCCAGTCACTAGGGAAACGGGGTCCTTGCTGTGCTGCCTCCAGGACAGCTTCCTACCAGGGTTCTCTGATCCCTTCCAGCTGACTTCTGCCACCCTCTCTTCCCAAGGAGCCCCACAGAGATGGGGGCACAGCTCAGCCCCCCAGCACCCCACGGTCAGTCGCAGGGGAGCCAGGGCAAGCTGTGTCCACAAACACAAGCACACTGCAGCAGCAGGGGTCAGGGTCCTGTTTACCACTCGAACTGTCAGCTAAAATCAATGTGTTCTTCCCTCTGGGAGTCCCTCATAGGTGTGAATGTCCCAGCTATGAATTGTGAGATTCTAACAACTTCCTAATCAGAGCCCTGGACCATTCCCAAACCAGGATTGGGGCACAGCTCCCCACCCTCCCGAATCCCTACCTAGCCACCCAGCTGGGGTAACCTAGCACTGAAAATTAAGTGCCCTAGATTTGGGGGTTAAAAAAAAACACGTGGGCCAAGTGCAGGTGGAACACACCTGTAAGCTAAACTAATCAGGAGGCTGAGGCAGGAGGATCATTTGTTCAGAGCCAATCTGGGCAACTTGGCAAGACCCTGTCTCAAAATGAAAAATAAAACAGGTTGGGGGTGCAGCTCAGTGGTAGAGCACTTGGCTGGCAAGCATGAGGCCTGGGTTCCATCCTGAGCACCAGGGTGGGGGTGAGTGGACACCAGCTTACCCTAGCTGTGCTAAGCCACTTGAGCTTGTCTATAAACGAGGCCCCAGCACGTTAGGAGTGAAGCTTGAGGGTGAACTCGGGCCACTGTCAGGGGAGCTGTCAGTTCACAGCAGTGTTCACAGCAGCGAGAAGTTCTGAGCCTGTGTGTGTCCATGGAGCAGAGAGAGGTCACCCTGGACAGGCGACCTAACATCTCCTCACTCTACTTGCCTGTTCTATACAATGGGGGCAGTGATGGTGACTGTCCCTTGGGTTACATGCAGGGACACAGCACCTGGTACATAGGAAGCCCTAGAGAAACAAGCGTTCCAGTCTCTCTCTGCCGGGGCCCTGCACCCCTCCTGCAGACAGCAGCTGACAGGTGCCGAAGGCTGAGGGCTTTCCCAAGCTGCCCTCGGGGACCAGAGGGGCTGAGACAGGCAGGGCCGGGCGATGACTTCTGGGCCACACCCCACCAGGTGCATCGGGCGATCCAAAGTCTAGATGCCTCCCTGTCATCCCAGGAACCCGTTTTGCAGGTACAGAAAATTAGAGGCTGCTGTGTACCGGACTCCTCCCCTCTACCCCTAGAGGGAAGGCCCAGGGTGAGCTTGGCCACAGGAGCCTGGCAGCTACCTACCCACCCTGCCCCTGAGCTGTGCCCACCAGCAAGGCAGCCAGGGTGCTGGGCTGCCTGCCCCTACCCTGGCCGGGGCTGGGCTGCCCTGGTCAAGACCAGGGGGTGCAGGGCCTTGGAAGGGGCTGGGTTTTCCTGGGGCTGCGGAGTAAACCCACCCGGGATGCACAGCAGGCTCCGGAGACAGGCGCTTGGTGAGATTATGAAACTTTTCCCTAAATCACATAGCTAAAAGGGCTTAGGTCCACTGTCCCATAGAGAGGTCACACCGGCAGCAGACAGAGCCCTCCGAAAACCTCTGCCCACCCTTGTCAGGGCAGACGTTGGGACTTACTTATATTTTCCAAGTACTTTACAAACTCCTTTTTACAGAAGAGTTAACAAGGCTCAGGGAAGCTAAAAAGCTTGACCAAGATCACTCAGCTCACAGGTGGCCAGGTAGGATTTGAACCCAGCCCTGTTTGCCCTGGGTTCTGTGTTCCGGGGCTGAACACCACTCATACTGATCAGCGCTAAGGTGCTAAACTGCCCAGGCTGAACGGTGATCCTCCTGCCTCAGTCTCCTGGGGTGCTAGGATTACAGCTTCGCGCCACTACGCACCGCTCTAGAGGGGTCTTCTTTCTTTCTTTCTTTCTTTTTTTTTTGTACCAGGGATCGAACTTGGGTCCTTGCACTTGCGCAGCAGGAGGCAGAACTACAGAGCTAAATCCCCGGGCCCTACTGGTCTGCTTTCTTAAGGGGCGCTGGGCGCGACTCCGCTGTGGGCCGGAGCTGCCGCCGTCACCCCGCGGGCAGCAGGTTTGCTCCTCGCGCAGGCGCCGCGAGGGGGCGCCGGGCTCCAGGAAATCCCGCGCGGGGCGGAGGCTCGTGGGCAGGGCAGGGGCAGCGGCTGCGAGGCGCGATGACTCACTTTCCTGCACAGCCGCTCCCTGCCCGCCAAAACTTCGCTTCCACTCCGGCTGCGCGTCACCCGGGTGGGGACAGGGCGGAGGGCGCTGGAAGTGACCCGGACAGCGAACGCGTCACGCCGAGCGGTCGGCTCCCGAAACTCCCGGCCGTGGGGAACCGCGCGCTCGGGCTGGGTCGAACACGCGCGCGTGTGGGCACAGACACGTGCACACGGACACGCGCGTGCACACTCAGGGGCGCGCCGGCCCCTCCGCCTTATCTCCACGGCCAAAACACGGGATGAGTCAGATCCCAGGAAAATAAAAATAGACGAGAGCAATGAAAACAAAACCGCCGGAGCCCTCCCAGAAGCGCGACGTGGAGGGGCGGAAATAGAAGGAAGCGGCCGGGCGCCCCCGGGGCCACAGCCGCCCCAGACCCGGGACACGGAGGGCGCAGTGTCCCCGCCCCAGCCCCACGGTTGCCCCGGGCAGTGCCCTCCTCCGGCCCGGGGACCCCGCGCCCCCGACAGGCGAGGCCCGCCCAGCCCGTGCACCGCCCCGCGTCCCCGAGGCCGCGCCAGACGCCGGGGACCTCCCGGTGCCCCGCTGCCCGGGAACAGCCTGTGCCGGCCAAATAGGTCACTGTGCTGACGGGCGGGACAGGCACGGCGGCGGGAGGGGCTCCCGCCGCCTCGGGGGCCGCCGTCCCCAGCCGGGGCGGGGTTCTGCTCTCACCGATCGTCCCGGGGTCTGTCACCGTGAGTCACCTCGCCCGTCCCCGGGGACAAGTCCTGGCACGTTCCCGGGATCCAGGGACGCAGCCCGCGCTGACCTCCGCGCCCAGCGGGGCGGACACCCGGGAGCTACGAGGACCCGGACCTCGGGGCCCCGGACGGAGCAGCCCCGGGGGACCTGAGCACGGCCCGGTCGGGTCTCCTGTGAGCTCGGTCCACGCCGCCCGCTCCTCCCGGGGACACGGGCTCTGTCCCCCGCCTCGAGGGCGTCCCGGGCTCGAGGTCCCGGTCTTCACGCTAGTCCGCGACATAGCCTGGCGCGCGCCACTCCCTCGGGTCCCGATGTCCGTGAGCACAAACCGCTCACTCAGACCCACGCCTCGGAAACACCTGCGAGGCCAGCTCGCGTCGAGGACGCACACCCCACGGGCGCTCGAGGACACGCGAGGCGAGGCTCGGGTCCCCTGTGCGGCTGCCTCACCTCCTGTGTGTCTCGGCGTCCCCGCAGATCCGCGCCCGGTCGGGATCCCCGATCTCCGCTCCCCGCTCCGTGAGGCGCGGGCTCCGGCAGCTGCGGCACCTCTGCGGGCGCCGCCCCGAGCGCCGGGCTTATAAGCGCCGCCGGGAGCCGGTGGGCGGCTCCGCGGGCAGCTCCTCCCCGTCCATGGCCTGCCCTCCTCCAGCCCTGTCGCTGGCTGTGTCCCCCGGCACACATTTACCCGCCAGTGGGGCCACAGTCCTGGGAGGGGCAGCACTGTGAGGACGAGCCCCTCCTCCGGCCCAAGCTGACCAGCTCCGACCTGGGGCCCGGTTTCTTTCTTCCATGTGGCCGATCCAACTGATTGCAGGGACAGGGGACCGAGATGTACTGAGGAAGTTGTCCACACGGCCTGCACACACACACACACACTGCTGGGGAAACTGAGGCTCGAAGTCCAGTGACCCGGCTGTGATCCTAAAGCAAATAAATGGCCACAGTTGGCCTTTTGCCTTATGACAGAGCCCTCTGCTCACAATCCTGTAGTTCTGTGGATGCCGAGTGAGGAAAATGCCTCTCGGGCTCTTTACCGAGATGTCATTGATAAGGGACAATTCTGGAAGTGTCTGCTAATGCTTCTGGAAGATACAGAAATGAGCCAGGGCGTGGTGGTGCACACTTGAAATCTCAACACTCCGGAGGCTAAGGCAGGAGGATCACTGGGAGTTCAAAGCCTGCCTGGGCTACAGAGTGAGTTCAAGGCCAGCCTGAACTACATAGCAAGACTTTGTCTCAAAAACAAAAAAGGATACAGAAATGAGGGGCTCAGCTGTCCCCCTAAAAGCCTTCTCTCCTCACCTTTGCCTCCTGCCTTCACCTGAAACGTTTGCAGTTTTGCTTTTTAGAAATTGCAGACAGTGGGGTGCTCATCTGAACAGAAATCCCACTAAAAAACAGAATCTTGGCTGTGAGCAGCTAGGACTGCACATCTCAGGCTGCTCAGGGCTTGGAAGTCTCTGCCCGGACATGCCCAGCCTTCCTCTACAGTGTGAGCGCTGACCTCAGGAGGCCGGGCCTCCCCCTGCAGCCCTCTCCTCTGTCCAGCCCGACTCCAAGGGTGTGGCCGAAGCACCGGGCCCCTCGCCCACCTGGCCCTGGAGACCCTCTGCCCGGTGCAGGGCTCCCCACCCCGCCCATGTTCACCTCCCCACACACCAGAGGCAGGGAAACCTGGGCTGTCCCACATCTGCCTCTGATCCCCTCAGCTTTCTGGAGTTTCACGTAGGCTTGGTGTCATCTGCCTGTTTACTTTGGGGGGGAAATGTTTTTAATGAAGGTTTGTGGTGAATTATTTAAAATTTTGTGGTGCTCAGCTTCACAATAAAACAATTCTTTTTGTTGTTGTTGACGTTAGGAAGTAGATTTTTAAAAATAACTTTGTTGGGCCAGGGATTTAGCTCAGTGATTCCACCGCCTGCCTCGCAAGCACAAGAACCCGAGTTCGATTCCCAGTATCAATAAATAAATAAATAAATAATAATTTTGTAGCTCACCACGACCACAGCCCGTGCCCATGGGTGGCCGCCAGGAAGTAGATGGCCCGCCTGGGGATGGAGGGGAGGTAGAAAGAAAGACAAGTGGAAAGGAGACAAGGAAAATCCTGATTTAAAAACTGTCCTTTCAAGAAAAACTGCAGCTTCAGGACACACTGTTAGCCGAGGTGAGGAAGCCTCTCCCCCACCAGGAAGCTCACCCCGAGTCCCTGAGGGTCTCGAGGCCACATTGAGCGACCGAGCTGTGCAGCTGTGCAGCTGTGAGCCTGCGCGCTTCCCCCCTCCCCGCCCCCTCCAGGCGCAGTCCTACGAACTGGCGCCGTGGGTGCACCTTGAGGACCTCCTCGGACCCTGTCCAGGGACAGAGAGAGGCTTAGCCTGGGAACAACAGGTCCCGACCAGCTCCTGCCCCAGACTGGGGGAAGTGACAGAAAGAAAAGGAGGGGAGCCGAGGCCTGAAGAAGGAGGATGTAAAAGGAGGCTGGTGGTGGCTGCAGGAGCTGCCCAGGAAGGGACAGGAAGTATAGGAACAATGACACCACTTCTTAGAAGAGGACTGGGGACTCCCAGATGGGGACAGTCATCTTTCACAGGAATTCACCTCCACACAGGCTCCCAAGAAGTGAGACCCCAGAGAAAAGACGGAACAGAGAAACAATACTACAGAGCCTGAGAAGTCCTGCTGGCTTTTTTTTTTTTTTTAATGTAATGGTTTGGGAGTCCCCACCCTGGCCAGCACCTGTCACACTAACAGCCTCGAGGGGGCTGGGAAATGTAGGTGACCACAGGGACCAGGTGGCTAATAGGTGACAGAATTCATGCCACAAGTCCAGCCTCCCAAGACTACCACCAAAGCAAGAAACGTCACCGTTGGAAATTCTTGCCTTTATATGAAGTTCTAGTCTACATTAAGTAAGCTCATATAATAGCTGGGCATGGTGGTGCACACCTGTAATCCCAGCACTCTGGGAGGCTGAGGCAGGAGAACCACAAGTTCAAGCTCAACCTAGACAACAACTTAGCAAGACCCTGTCTCCATATTAAGACCCTGTCTCTCTATA